CCTCAGATGCAGCACAGAGCAGGAAAATGTCTGCTTCAAAGACATTCTCAGAACTGCAAATAGTGTGTGAACTTTACATGAAGGAACTGCCATTATAGAGGGTGGAGGAGGCAGGACTGCTGTTGTGAAAAACACATATGAGGTATGTGAATGTTGCCTAATTTTAGCTAGAGAATAAACCAAAGCAATGATGGCTGATTTCTTAGTTTTTGCAACAAATTTTTAATATTAGACAAAAATAACCTGACTGAATACAAAATACAAAATGCAATTTTTAAATGATGATTTCATTTATTCAGGGAAAGGATATCCTAATTTACCTGGTCCTGGGTGAAAAACCTAATAACTGGTTGTGCCACCCTTGGTAGTAACAACTTCAGAGTCCTGAGACCAACCATGGAAGATGGTGTATTATGAGTGTGTGTGTGTGTGTGTGTGTGTGTGTGTGTGTGTGTGCGCGCACCCCTGAGGAGAAAATCTGTAGCAGGTCAAGTCTGAAGGAAACAAAGAGCTTTTCTGAAGCACCAGTGGAAACCTTAACAGAGGAGGAAGTCTCTGACAATATAGAGGCCAGACGCCTCGCGAGATTTAATAATGCTCCATTGTACCTCTTTAATATCACAAATGGAGTGACCAGCCCTCGGTGGTAATGCGCAGCATGATGACCAAACACAAACCTCGGCATAGAGCCATTAGAAAGTTATGATTTTGGATGGAAACAACAGCAGTCTCTGCTGAATGAGATCCTCTTGGTTATTATCTGATCCAGTTACATTTCCAGGATCACTTCACAGGGATAGGAGCCACTTTAAACCTTTAACATACTTCTAGTATTGTCAGCAAAGAGTTGCTTAGATTAAATTAGTATGACAACATTGTGCTTTGGGCCTTTAATTCAAACAGCGACTTCTCAGGGAGCTATAGCCAAACCTTTGTCTGCTGATGACTAACACACAAAATAAAGCCTGTCGACCATCAATTATTAAGAGCGAGACAGGGTGGAAGGGCGTTTTTGGACCCTGACGTCATGACTTGGAGCCATTGGACAAAAAACACCCCGAGGCAACCATGAGGAGGAGGAGAAGCGACATGTGTTTGCAAACAGAGGTTGATGAAGATTCACAGAGGTCCTCACTCGAATAGACACTGCAGTATGTGCACAGAAAAGTTACAGTAAACAGGAATGCGATATTATCATAGTAACACATCAGTAACTGAGGGAGTTCACTTGGCTCTACCTGCACCTCAGTTTCCAAACAAGACTACAAAAGACAAGGGTCATAAGTGAGTAACTGCTTGTTTCTGCTGTTTATACAGTAGCATCTACACTCACTTTACTGCTCCAATGCCTTTCAGTCAGTTAGCAAGTTAGTTCAACTTGTGCTGCTAAATATTGGCTCTAAAACATTTTGTAGCCGCTTTACCCCACTCTTCTCATTGTATTACAGTGTTTCATACTACCAGGCATGTCAAGAGTATATCCCTTTAGTGTGTCATAACTGATACATACAGATTTTAAGATTTCTTTATAATCAGTGTGATGTCCCCCCCAAAACCTAAATACATTGCACAATACATTGTTAAACAATAAATACTCTCCCAAAATTGTAGAGATAAGTTATGTAGCAAATACGATGAAAGCTAAGATTTAATGTTTTTTGTTTAACTCGTCAGAAGGTTCAATAAACGCTCGAATCATTGACTCATCTGATGAATAATTTGGCTTGCAGTGGCAAAATGTTTATTAAACTAGAAAAACACCCAAGAATGTTGCATTTTACTGTGTGAAATTGTAGTATTTTATTATAATACTATCAGGTATCAGTAGGGTTGAAGGCAGTACTCTGTCCCTTTTACGGTACCAAAATACTGAGTACCAATTTGCACTAAATTAAATTTTGGTACCCGAGCACATCTGGGTTAGAAGAAGAAAAAGAGTGAGACCATGTGATGACTCAAACCTGAACAAAAACTCGATGCAGGCAACACTAGGCCCTTCAAAGAATGTCTGTGTGAATGAGTCTTGTACGAACAAATCTCAAAATAAAGTAGAAAATCACTTATAGGTATTAGTAAAGTAGCTGGATAAGCAGTTTTATAAGTTTTATGATGGTTACGCTGACATTTCTTATCAGCATACTATTTATGGTAAACAAATATGTTATGTCGGACGATATGTCTGAAATGTTAGCAGGTAAATGGTAAATGGACTAGTTCTTATAACTTTTACTATTTAATATTTTAGTACACAAACACCAGGAGACTGATGCTTACATCATTTACATCGTCTGACAGCAAAATGTTGTAAATAAATAATAAAACACAGAGAAGTATGGACTTATTTTGTTTGAGAAAACTTTGAATTTACTATTTCAAATGAAGCAAAGCACCGGAAACAGTACCAAATTCCACACACTGGTACTGGTTTAGCTGCTTACCAAGCTAATTACTTTTTATTTGTATTTAGTTTTAATCTTTTATTTTCATCTTTAAAAGTACTGAAAGTACAACAAGTACTGTTTGAAAATGAAGGATTTTTCCACATTATGTTTTATGGATGTTTTTCCATGTGTTTTAATTTCCATGGATATTTACAAAATATCGATAAAGTTCAGTAAAAAACACTGATATTTTTATAGGCAGAAATAACCAGGACATAAAATGGTAACACTGACACATAAAAATTCAAGAATCCCACGGGTGACATCACAGTGGCCATGTCCATCTTTTACATACAGCCTATAGTTTTCAGTTGTAAAGACCTGTCACATTAAAGTGTATTGATAAATGACTAAAAGATCCTTTTTATTGTATTGTTTCTACCATTTATGATGACTTAACAGCTGGTTTTTGGACATACAGCCATCTTCTTGGATGCTTATTCAATGATAGCAACCATGTGCTTGGAGGTCCAAGCTCTGACAGACAAAATACACAGTACTTTTAAAGCTTTCTGTCAAAGTAAGCTATAAACCAGTCTACTATTGACTTCAGAACATCAGCTCCTTCACCTGATCCAGAAAACTTTGTTAGAAGACTTGCACAGAGCTTCGGCATCAGTTCACAAAGCTGTATGTGAGCCTGAATATCTGAGAGTCAGTGGATTTGTTTCTGACTTTAATCCAGGCAAAGTCGCAATCGTGCTTCCAGGTCCAGCACTCAACAACAAGCAAACACAACAACTGTGAGGTCGATCTGCAGCTAAGACGACCAGCTGACAACAGAGGGATGACGACGCAAATGGTGACCCCATCTAATCTCATCCTCCTGCAGGCCCACATTCACAGAGCGAGCGATGGAAATGAATTTTTCAAAGGTTCAGACGAGTGCAGAGGAGAGCACCTCCCTGGAGACAACAGAAGCAAAACAGAGAGCACTGTCTGCAAACTACAATGTGTTTGTGGGTGTGGGTGTTAAATTTTTATGACGGACCTCTGCCTTCTCTAAAAACTGCAAATAAATCAATTTTACACTCGTCCCAAATGTCGCAATCTAAAGACCAGATCTTGTTCCATACATTCAGAAGCACCAGTTTTATAAATTTTATAAACAAGTTTTATTATTTTATTATAACAAGTTTTTATTATTAAAATGTTACTCAGGTGTTAAGCCACTTAACAGTGACCATGACCTATCGGCAGCAGATAAACAGTATGTGAAAGTCATGTCCTAAAGAAACAGGAACAAATCCATTAAAGACCTGACACAGGACCTAAGAGATCCATCTGGACCTTCAGCTGATCATCTACTGTTCACTGAAGCCTCATCAGAAATTGTCTCAGTGGAAGGCTGGCTGTCAAGAGGCCATTCATAAGGAAGGGAAACAGAGAGAAAAGGCTGAGGTATAAAAATTACAGAAGAACTGGACTGAAAATCAGTGGAAACAGGTCTGATGGAGTGATGGATCTGGTCTTAGTATTCTCATCAGTATGTACAAAGAAGGTCAGGAGAGAGGTACAACAGCGCCTACAGCCATCTGTAAAACACGGTGGAGGCTCTGTCATGGTTTAAGCTGGATTTCAGTCACTGTTGCTGGAGATCTTGTCAAAAAACTCAGAAAAGTACCGTTAGATTTTGCAGATGATATTGCTTGCAGCCGCTGAGATACGTTCGACCAAAACAGGTGCAGCTTGATGACATCATCAACATGCGCTATCGCGGTAGAGCGGTATAGTCAAAATCTCTACCGTTGGTCAAATTCATATCATTTTTACGGTACAACGTTTATACCGCCCACCCC